TGACTATTGGAGATATTATAACGCAGGCTACAATTTTCGCGCTGGGTCCCACCAGCAATAAACGCACGTGTGTGTACACAAAACGAATGTTCAAAATTCATTAATAATAAAGAAGTGCAAATTTAACTTAAACCAACGGCCTTTATTTCAAATGATTTTCTCCTCTGTATTAATATTTTATTTTATGCCCACCGGTTAAGTCCAGCTAGAAGAAGAAACAGAAAAATTCAAGCAAACACAAACAGGAGGCCTAGATTAAATTGAAATCATACACAATTTAGAACCTGTCATTGTTCAAACTATTGTACATTTCGATGTACTATCATTAATAGTATTATTTTTATCCAGCAAACGCTACGTCGGCAATCGAGAATCCGCTAATATTGCCGTGGCAAGGGGGCGGAATGTTGGGGCTAGAGGCCCAATTTAGTTATATTTACTGCTGGGGTAACGCATTTATTCAAATGGGCTATGTAATACGTTAAGTACATAGAATGCCACATAACTGTCAGGCAATGACCTCTAGCTCGAAAGCTATGTGCTTGCGTGTTATTGGTTCGGTGGCCAGTAGGTAAACTTTTCTAAAATAATTCATTTTTCGGTACACAAAAAAGAAGTTCAACCGGTGCTGACATAGAGATTTTTTCATTTGAATCGCTATTAAATTATCAGAAAATTGGATTAGACTATAGATATTTGGTTTTGGTACTAAGGTTCTAGCTCACAATTTTTTTCTACCGCTCCTCACAACAACAACAACTTAACAGCAAAGTCGAACTACTTAAGACAATAAAACAAAATATGTTTTTGGGTGCACGCGAGGTGTGGTCCAACCGAACTGGTTACGAACTCACTCGCACTACTCCCGTGCTGCCGGGCGTAACTTTAACCCGCCTGTATGACTGGGCTCGGTCGGGTCCCGACTTCGGTGCTTCTCCGGATGATGACGCCAAACTCTGATTTCGCCACAGGACTATAAATAGCCTATTTTGCACTGGGCTTCAGCTGCCCTTAAACAAGCCCCTACTGGCTTAAAAACTTCTACTAATTTTTAAAAGGCTTCAACTGCCCTTACACTTTCACTTGCCTCGCCCGGCAAAACACTATTTATTTATTGTTATTAATAATTTTTTTTCCTCCAAAGAAAATCGCACGCTGGCTTAAAAAAGATGTTCGCACTTTCGTAGATTACCGGAATCTGATCCAGCACGCACTTGCGAGCCAGGCCGAAAGCTACGCGTCCGCATTCAGAGCGTGTATTGGTAGCCAATTATTTAACACCTCCCCAATTACCCAAAGAGACCATTGCTTCAAATAATGTAACTATTCGCCGACAGATGTCACTGTCAACGCTCGTTTGGAGTGAAAGGAATATGAGGCAAAATAAAGGAAATAGACAAGCAAACACCAAAGAAGTTTTTTGGCGAAAACTCCTCCCCTTCTTAAATGAAAAGGAAGGAATCTTTCTTTTTGTCAGGAAACGGAAATCTTCTATCATAACCTTTTAATTAATATGTGGCCTTCATGCTGCGCTGTCCTAATGCAGCATGCTACCTTCGCTAGCTGTTGGTCCCATGTTCTCTGGTTGTCCTAAGTGTTGTTTTAATAATTTGGTTTATCCTCTTGGACGGGTTAGCCTGTGGGTGATAGTTTGATTTTTCTATTTACAATATGTATGTGCGCATGTTCATACGTACACACATATGTATACCTACAGTGGCTGTTGGTCAAGCACCTACCAACAACCACACACGTCAAAACAAACTACCGCACAAAAAGGAGATCACAAAAACTAACAAACCGACCGGCCAGCTTAGTGAAGTAGGCGTGGGTCGCTGGCTACATATACTGACAAAATCCAACGGGGTGAAAAACAACACCAAGTGAATTTTACTGAGGCGGTAAACAAATAGCACGACAACAAGAATTTAACAACAAAGTCAAGCTACAGAACAACAAAACAAAATATAGTTTTGGGTGCACCCGAGGTGTGGTCCAACCGAACTGGTTAAGAACCCGCTCGCCCTACTCCCGTGCTGCCGGGCGTAACTTTAGCCCGCCTGTAAGACTGGGCTCTGGGTGCGGGATGCTAGAAGGATTGGTAAGGACGTAACGAGGGTAGTGACACTGTCGGCACGACAAAGCGCAAGCAAACAAGAAATACACGAAATGATACTTATCGGTTGGTCGGTGATGTGCGTCCCGACTTCGGTGCTCCTCCGGATGATGCCGACGCCAAACTCTGATTCCGCCACTGGAAACCACAAAACACACCTATTTTACTCTTTCACACACTAGGCTTCTACTGCCCTTACGCTATCACTTGCCTCACTGGCCAAACACTATGTAATTATTTTTCTTTTTTTTCTCTAAAACATGGTTAGTTGGGGTCGGAATTCCTCATGAACTCCGATAAAGGGGCTCGGGGGAGGTGCCGGTCCTTCAGGAAGCTGTAATAAATCCCTAAGCTTTCTCCAAATAAAAGGCAATTATTCCCGTGCGTTTTTATTGAATTATATGAGTTAATGTAAATATAATATATATATGAAAAAATATGTAGCACAAAGGAATACACTCACCAAAGATGTTGCTGCAAGGCGGGCGGCATGTTTATGCGTGCAACCCTGGGCAGCCGCCATAACATTCACCAACAGATGGCGCTGCTGTTTTTCGTTAATACATGACTCTTCAAAGTTATGGGAAGAGTCCAAAAAATCAAAAATTAAGTGAGGCCAAAAAAGTAGTGAAAACAGTTAAAATAGTTAAAATAGAAAAAAAGGCAAAAAAAAAAATCAAAAAATTAAGTAAGGCCAAAATTTGCTAAATTGGAAAAAAATAGTTAAAATAGTGAAAAAAAGGCCAAAAATCAAAAATTAAGTAAGGCCAAAAAAGTAGTGAAAATAGTGAAAAAAGGCCAAAAAATCAAAAATTAAGTAAAGCCAAAAAAGTAGTGAAAACAGTTAAAATAGTGAAAAAAGGCCAAAAAATCAAAAATAAGTAAGGCCAAAAGAAAAGTGAAAATAGTGAAAAAAGGCCAAAAAATCAAAAATTAAGTAAGGCCAAAGCTTATTAAATTGCAAAAAAAAAAAAATTGTGAAAAAGTGAAAAAAGGTCAAAAAATCAAAAAAATCCGAAAAACTAAAGAATACAAAATAAGAAGGCCAAATTTGCTAATAAAAAAAAAAGAATAATAGTGAAGTGAAAAAGTGAGCGCGCAGGCATGTACAAACCGCCAATAAAGGAAGCGCCCCACTATAAAGTGTAGTGTGTCACGCGCTTGCAGGAGGCAAGACGCTACAGCAAAGTTGAGAAGCGCCGGCACCAAGTGCCACAAGGCAAGGCGCTTATCAAAGTAAAGTGAAGTGAAGTGTAGTGAGTGAGCACCAAAGGCCCATTGATTGCGGCAAGGCCTACTGAGGCCCAACGTTAGCGGCAAGGCCTACTAAGGCCCAACGTTTGCGGCAAGGCCTACTGAGGCCCAACATTTGCTGCAAGGTCACCACCAAAGACAAACGCCGTGCAACAGGTCCAGGTGAGTCGTCAGTTTTTCAATATTTTTGGAAAAAATTTTAATTCTCGTGCAAGTTACTTTCGGTTTGGTCTTTTTTTTACATCCGTTGACGAACTGGTCCAACGGAAGTACCAATTGCAGCCAATTAATATTTGAAAAAAAAAAAAAATTCGATTCCCGTGCGAATTAATTTCGGGTTGAATTTTACATACGGGAACGAACTGGTACAGCGGAAGTACCAAGTTCACACGTATATACTAACGCGTTTCTGCATCTTATTTTTTCTTAGTTTTTATATTAAAAAAAAAAAAAATATATAAATATATAAATTTATTTTATTTTATATTGTATATAAAATTTCTGGGCAGTTGACCCACCCTAATATAGCGGTAAGGCCTACTCCAACGGCCCAACGATTTCAACAGCGCCCACACAAAGGGCCCAACGCTTGAAGTAGGAGAATATTGGATCCTTACAACACTTTTTAAAATTTAATTCTTCATTCAACTGTTTTTTTTTTTAATTTTTTATTCAACTGTTTTTTTTTTAAATCTTTCAATTAAGCACTGGTCCAACGAGTATCAGCTGTGGCGGACTGACGGATACGTTCCGATAAATAATCACTTCATTAAAATCTATTTCGACTAAAAATTCATAATGACTCATGCTAATGATTTTCTCCGCGCCTGTGATGCACTGTTAGAGTTTGAAGAGTTGTACAACAACACTCCAAGTGCAAATCACTCAGTTTTTTCGCTGGAAATACAAAAGGAAGAACTGAAGGCGTTGTGGATGAAAGTGAAGGAGTCATTCGATGTGTATTCGAGGAATATATCGGCAGATGAACCGGGTAGCATAGCCATGAGCTCAGCGAAGACCAGGTATCAGGATTGCTATTCAGCATACCTGACATGTGCAGCACTGATGGGCGAGACCATGCACTGACTTTTCTTCAACAAAGCTCATCAACGGTTAATCCTGCAGCGCGGGAACCTGAACCGGTTCCACGCTCTAGTATGAATCTCCCTCCATGTGACACTGAAATTTTTTATGGTGACTACATGGCATGGCCAACGTTCCGCGATTTATTCACAGCCATCTATATAAATAATTGTCGACTGACACCGGTTGAGAAATTATACCATCTAAACCACAAGACTCGTGGGGAAGCAAAGGACATCGTGAAGAAATGCCCATTGAAGAATTATGGTTTCATAACCGCGAGGCAGAACTTGTCGGAGCGATATGAAAACAAAAGGGTGATGGTAAACAGTCAGTTGAAAACGTTGTTCAACTTACAACGAGCAGTAAACAATTGTATCTCAGTGTTGCAGATGTATGGAATCGAAATAAGCAACTGGGATGCAATTTTTGTCTTTTTAGTTTCCAGTAGGTTGCCGGACACCACATTAGCTCTATGGGAGCAAGGAATCGTGCAGAAGGCCGAAATGCCGAGGTGGGAGGAATTGGATAATGTTTTGACAAATAGGTTTCAGACGCTGGAAACGGTTTCGGACATTCAAAGTACAAGAGTGTCAAGGACAGTGCAAAGTCGCGCTCCAGCACCAGCATTTGGGAAAAGGGTATCAACTCATCATACTCAGTTTTCACAACCTGCCTGCAGGCTGTGCCCACAGCAAATCCATGTGTTAAAAGCATGTCCAAAATTTCTAGCTATGAAAGTTGACGATCGTGTCAAAATAGCTAGAAAATATAATTTGTGTATGAATTGCTTAGCACATTCGCACCTAGCCAGAGATTGCAAGAGCACGTTTAGCTGCTTAAACTGCCATCAACGACATCACTCACTGCTGCATCGGAATCCAACTGGGAATCATCCGCCGACTCAAAATAATAGGCCAGCATTAGAAAATACGAAGACTAGGCCTGAACAACCCCTATCCACATCGAGGAATGTCAACGCACTTTTCGCAAAAAATGCGAAAAATGTCATATTAGGCACGGCGATGGTGCACATCTGCTATTCTGGAGTGAACTATGAGGCAAGAGCCCTTCTTGATTCGGGATCAGAAGGTATTTTTATCACGAAGCGGTTGCAACGAGTCATTAAATTGCCTACTCAACCATCTGACATGGAGATATGCGGTATTGATGCGTCAACATCTGCCAGGGTGCGGGAAGTCGCATCATTTGTTTTAGGTTCTCCTGTCAACCCCCAGTTTAGAATTGAGGCAAGAGGCCTGATTCTCCCCCAACTGACAGGAAACCTCCCCCAGTTTTCAGTAGACCAAATAGATTTTGGCCTACTGCCCCCAATTCACTTGGCCGATGCCAACTTTAATAAAAGTCAGCAGGTTGACTTGGTAATTGGTGCGGACTTGTACCCGCAAATAATGATGGAAAACGTTAAGACAAACGTTTTAGGCTCTCTTCTGGCGCAGGAGACAGTCTTCGGTTGGATCCTCACAGGTCCAACCCCTCATCCCCCCAATATGATCCCACGAGCATATGTATCTATGTACACCGAAATTTCGAGCTCTGAGCTCACTCGGTTTTGGGAGCTAGAACAAGTCCCAAGTAAAAAACAGATCACTCCTGAGGAAACATTCTGCGAGCAGCAGTATGTAAATACGACTACCAGAACAGAAAATGGGAAATATATGGTGACTCTTCCGTTCCCAGCAGACATAGATCTTGGATATTCACGGACTGGTGCATTGCAGCAATTTTTAAGAAATGAAGCGGCCATGGTACGAAAGCCGGAGCTTTGGGTAGAATACCATCGGGTACTCCGGGAATATATAACTCTCGGTCATATGAAGTCAGTAGACGGCAGCCTTGGAAACAAAGGACCAGGGTCTTATTATCTGCCCCATCATGCAGTAATAAAACCCGACAACACTACTACAAAGGTTCAAGTAGTGTTTAATGCATCTAACCCAACATCTAATGGGGTAAGTTTAAACGATGTACTACATCCTGGTCCAGTTCTCCAAGCCGATCTCATTGCGTTGCTACTTAAATGGAGATTTTTCAAGTATGTATTCAACGCAGATATTGAGAAGATGTATCGGCAAGTCCTACTACATCCAAATGACGCTCGGTTTCATAGGATACTTTTTTGGGATTCATCCGAAGAGGAGATTGTGGACTATGAACTCCAAACTGTGACTTTTGGAGTTAATTGTGCCTCATACCTTGCGATAAGGACGTTATTGCAGCTGGCAGAGGACATAAACCTAAAATACCCTTTAGCATCTAGGGTTTTGAAGCAACATATGTATGTTGATGACGTCCTCGCAGGCGCACATGATTGCGAGACAGCTATTCGCACACGAAATGAACTGGTCGAGGCACTCAATGGTGCAGGATTTCTCCTACGAAAGTGGACCTCAAACTCCAAGGATATTTTAGTCGACATACAAAAGGAGCATCTTCTCAAGGAAGACCTCTTGGAGATTGACGATGTAAGAGAGGCAAGGATGTTAGGCATCAAATGGAACGCTGCACAAGATAGGTTTCATTTCAACGTCCAGGAGATGCACGTAAAACCAGCCTACACCAAAGCAAAACTCTTCGATCCCGCTGGTTGGTTAGGACCAATCGTCATCGAGGCCAAAATCCTGATGCAGGACATTTGGCTGACTAAGGTAGACTGGGATGACAACATACCAAGAAGCATTTACGTGAGATGGCCTACACCAAGAGAGAGGTATTATCGTGTGTAGCAAAACTCTTCGATCCCGCTGGTTGGTTAGGACCAATCGTCATCGAGGCAAAAATCCTGATGCAGGACATTTGGCTGACTAAGGTAGACTGGGATGACAACATACCAAGAAGCATTTACGTGAGATGGGAGAATTTTCTAAAAAACTATGTTCACATTTCTAAAATCAGAATTCCAAAGTGGGTTAGGTATACCCCATGGAATGAAATTGAATTTCATGGATTTTGTGATGCCTCCGAGAAGGCGTATGCTGCGGCATTATATGTAAGAGTCCGGGAACGAAATTCAAGTATCGCTCCAAACGTAAATCTGCTGGTAAGCAAGACAAAAGTAGCGCCAGTAAAAACAATTTCTCTACCACGGTTAGAGTTATGTGGGGCACTTCTCCTGGCAGAATTAATTAACGCTTTACTTCCACAGCTCGATGTTGCTCAACCAGTGGTCTACAAATGGACAGACTCCACTATTGTGCTCTCATGGCTGCAGAAACCCCCGTGCTGTTGGACTACCTTCGTGGCGAATAGAGTCTCGAAGATCGAGGAACTCGTTGGATCGACTGGTTGGAATCACGTGGATTCAAAGGAAAATCCAGCAGATCTTGGTAGCCGCGGCGTATCCCCCCAAGAACTATCGGAGAGCGTTCTGTGGTGGCCCGGTCCCAGCTGGTTAAAGAAGCAACCGTCTGCGTGGCCTCAGAGGCGGAGTGAGCCACTGCACACGGAGCTGGAGCAGAAAGGCGTCAGGACTCACGCAGCACGAATCATAGACAGAGATGACATCTTGGAACGGTTCTCCGACTTTTCACGCGCGTTGAGGGTAGTGGCGCGAGTTTTTCAATTCTATCGGAAAATACATCCGGTACTTAAATTATTAAATCAGCACGAATCTGCGGAAATTACAGCAGATGAAATTCGAGATGTAAAAACGCGATTAATTCTTTTGACCCAAAAGCGTTGTCTTGCGGATGAATACGATGCACTAGCGTCAGCAAACTCAGTGAGCGCTAAGAGCTCCATTCGCACTCTCAATCCATTTCTTGATAAGAACGGAATCATGAGAGTAGGCGGTCGACTAGCGCTAGCGTCGCTATCGTACAACGAACGATACCCGACAATCTTACCGTATGATTGCCAATTTTCTCGACTTCTTGTTAAATTCTCACACCTGATTTCATTACATGGCGGAAATCAGCTCATGCTGAGACTCATGAGGTCAGAATATTGGGTAGTACGGTTAAAAAATTTAATAAAAATGGTTATTAATAATTGTAAAGTTTGTCTCATTCATAGGAAAAGGACACGAGAACAATTAATGGCTGCGCTTCCACCGGAAAGAACGGAAGTATCCAGACCCTTTACTAATACTGGCGTGGATTTCACAGGCCCGTTTGACATTAAAAACTACACAGGTCGAGCATGTCTAATAACGAAAGGATACGTCTGCGTATTTGTGTGTTTCGCTACAAAGGCGATTCATCTGGAGGCGACGAGCGACTTATCGACGTCCACTTTTCTGGCTGCGTTCGCGAGATTTGTAGCAAGACGCGGCTGTCCGCTTCATATGTATTCGGACAATGGCACGAACTTCGTTGGAGCCAACAAGGCGTTGAAGCATGATTTCAGGAAATTCATGACTGAAGCGTCTCAACTCACCATGCGGTCATATGCGCATGAGGAAATCAACTGGCACTTCATACCTCCAGGGGCTCCTCACATGGGAGGATTATGGGAGGCAGGAGTGAAGAGCTTCAAAACGCACTTTCGAAGAGTAGCAAGTGCAATGCGCTTTACAATGGGGGAATTTTCGACGTTACTGGCCAAAATCGAGGCCTGCCTCAACTCTCATCCAATTAGTCCACTCTCCGATAATCCTGAGTCAATTGAACCTCTAACCCCGGGACATTTTCTAATTGGAAGTCCGCTGCTTGCGATCGCTGAGCCCGAAATCAGCGGAAACCCGATGACAATCATCAACCGATGGCAGAAACTGAAAGCACTTCACCAAGGATTTTGTCAGCGATGGAAGGTTGAGTATCTAAAGGAACTGCACAAGAGAGTAAAGTGTCAGTTTCCTCACCGAAACCTAGAGGTTGACGATTTCGTAGTTGTCAAAGAGGACAATCTACCCCCGAACGAGTGGCGACTTGGCAGAGTGGTTAGGGTTTTCTTAGGTCACGATAACAGAGTTAGAGTGGTAGATCTACTTACGACGCGAGGCATAATTACACGTCCCATCGTGAAATTAATTATGCTCCCCGTCGTAAAAAGCACTAGTGATATCTATAATTCCAGAGATTTTCAACAGGGTACGTGCCAACAACAACAGCAAACAACAACTTAAGGAACAACATCGGTGCCCTGTATGCAACCACAATCACCGGTTGCTGTTCTGCCGACAGATGCGTCGACTGGAGCCTGCGGAGAGACTGAGGGCTGTCCTCCTCCATCGGCATTGCGCCAACTGTTTGTCTCCGAATCACATGGCCTACAACTGTCCATCCACGAGGAACTGCGACCGCTGTCAGGAGAGGCACCACAGTCTCCTGCATCTGTGGGAGACATATAGAGGCGAGGAAGACGTGCCGCCGGTCGGAGACGTGACAGATCACCGGAGTAAGAAACGGCACTGTCCTTACCGGGCCCCAGCCTTGCCAGATGACTCCAGCGATGACGAGGTTCTGGAGATCGACGCCAGTGACGATGAAGTGCTGGAACAACCTCCCAATGAACGGGCCAGCACACCAAACCCCCCGTTACTCAGACCGCCTCTGTCGAGTGTACGGTCCGTTGTTCAGCGGCCACACCCACCGTCGGAAGATAGAAGTGTCTCATCAAGCAGGCGTAATAACAAACCACAAAGGCGACCTCGGGCGGTGAGGGACCCGCTCGGATTGCATTGGGCATGTATGTCCTCACGCCAACTGTGATGGTGAGAGTGGTGGCAAGTGGCCGAGGACACCCGGTTCGTGCCCTGATCAACCCAGGGCAATCGAGGTCGTCGATATCCAGAACTCTGGCGAGACGACTGCACCTGCTGCCACGCGAATATGCAGAAAGCATAGACCTAACATTAAAAGGTTGGCGGGATCGGATTAGTCTGACCGCCAAGGTAGTGACAAGTCCCATGAAGACCACGCCGGCACGCACATTGGACGCAAGGATTGTCGACGAGTTCGACAATATGCGGTTGGCAGACCCAACGTTTTACAGGTCCAGTGCGGTGCCACTAATTCTCGGTGCCGATGTATACGGCATGATATTGCGGCCAGGACTTATGCCAGCAACCCCGACGCGACCGGCTGCCCAGAACACCATATTTGGATGGGTGATCTCTGGCTGTTCACCATACTAGACGGCAGCGATGGAGGCAGAAAATTTAGTGTTAAGTCAAAAATGAAAAAATGTAACTTTGAATTGTATTTAAATTAAGTCTTGAAACTTTAATATAACACAATGAATTGTAAAGTTTTAAAAAATTGTGAGATTATTTTTTGCAGTGTTGCGTGCAACCCTGGGCAGCCGCCATAACATTCACCAACAGATGACGCAGCTGTTTTTCGTTAATACATGACTCTTCAAAGTTATGGGAAGATTCCTGTTAGCCCCGTTTCTGATTTCCACCTTCTGTGGAATTCTTTAAAAGACCAGTCCAACCGATCTTCCGCCTCTTTTTTCTTCAACAGCCACAGCAGCAACATCTTTGGTGAGTGTGTTCCTTTGTGCTACATATTTTTTCATATATATATTATATTTACATTAACTCATATAATTCAATAAAATTTATTGAATTATTTAATATAATTGCCTTTTATTTGGAGAAAGCTTAGGGATTTATTACAGCTTCCTGAAGGACCGGCACCTCCCCGAGCCCCGTTATCGGAACTCATGAGGAATTCCGACCCCAACTAACCCCGAGACGAAACAGTAATAACTTTAAGAAACTAAAATATTTCAATTTTCAAAGTAAACTAACACTATAAAATCCGGCTCGTACAGCCGATAAAGTAAATATAACCTGAAGCTGCGATTCACCACCTACGAGGGGACCCTCCAGCTTATATAAAAAAAAAATTCTCTGCGATTCACCACCCAAGGGACCCTCCAGAAGAATTATAAAATAAATAAAAAAATATTATATAATAAAATAAAACAACTTGAGTACCAAATGACCTCCCTAGTGCAGGGCAACCTCACTATTCAGGAATTCTATCAGCGCGTATATTCCCATCTTTCACTTATTTTAAATAAACTTGGATGCATGGAAGTCGGTACAGAATCGATGCATCTACTGACACGCACATATAGAGACAAGGCTCTTGATACCTTTATAAGAGGATTAAAAGGGGACTTGCCNGGATTTATTACAGCTTCCTGAAGGACCGGCACCTCCCCCGAGCCCCGTTATCGGAATTCATGAGGAATTCCGACCCCAACTAACCCCGAGACGAATCCGGCTCGAAGGACCATGATGAATTACATGAGTTAATGTAAATATAATATATATATGAAAAAATATGTAGCACAAAGGAACACACTCACCAAAGATGTTGCTGCTGTGGTTGTTGAAGAAAAAAGAGGCGGAAGACCGGTGGAACTGATCTTTTAAAGAATTCCACAGAAGGTGGAAATCAGAAACGGGGCTATTAGGACTCTTCCCATAACTTTGAAGAGTCCTGTATTAACGAAAAACAGCAGCGCCATCTGTTGGTATATGCGTTATACTGCTTTATCTGCCCATGACTTTGGGACTTTGGGCCTTTAGCTGCTATGCACTCCGTGCAATTAGCAATCCACTCCGCGACCGATTGCCGACAGCCAACCCAAAAGAACCGCTGCTTGATCTTTTCCAGCGGTTTTGTAATGCCTAGGTGCCCTCCACTAGGACCGTTATGGAACTCCTTAAGAACATCCGGAATTCTTAACTTCGGAACTACTATTAGCTTCCGGGAACACTG